TCTCTGTCACGGTCTGTGATGGGTACCCGGATTCTCTGTCACGGTCTGTGATGAGTATGGATTTTCTCTGTCACGGTCTGTGGGGGGGGTGGGGGGGGGGGGTCCAAAATTTCTACCCTATACACTTCAACACTCCTTTCAGATCGTGTTTCACAAAAAACCAACATACCAGGGTTACAAAAGTCACTTTACCGAGTAAAAATTGAATATCTCGATTACGGCTCCAACAAACCAGCTGATTTTTTTATCAATGATAGAGGCATGTTCAAGCTTTATATCCATAAAGACATGTCTAGAAAGATCCTTTGTCAAGTCTATTGTTTTTTTTCTCATCTATGAAAAAGTAAAATTTTTTTGTTGAGATCACTGGTGATACTTAACGAACGGTCTCTCTAGGCTTGTCTTTATAGATATAAATCTTGAACTTACCTCTATCATTGACAAAAAAATCAGCTTGTTTGCTTAAGCCTTAATGGAGATATTCAATTTTTTTGTTGGGTGCGTGACTTTTGGACCACCCTGTATGTAATGTGAATGAAGTACGTGCTTAACAACTCTCTCATTTTAAGTAATATAGATCTCAAATTGTGCCAGATACTAGCATTATATACGGGCTACAACTGGTAAAAAAATCAGAATTTTTCGAGCGAGATATAAGAAAGTTTTCTATGGGGTATCAGGTCGGCTGTTCACGCCCATCTATATTGCATTCAACAGCTAGTATACATACAGGGTGCCACATAACCTTTCCCTTCCCCTCTCGACAACCTAAAAGACAGATAATATCAGAAAGTATTTATAGCAGATTAAAGCCCATCAAAACTGCATCTATGAATGCCATTAGTGCAAATGTTGCCCAAGCGATTAACAAATACCTTGCACAACATATTAAAATATCATGAATTATACAATATAGTCTATCAAAATATCATCATACTGTTCATCGATTTAAATTGTTGATCATTCAGTTTTCACTCATCTATTAGAAATATAAATTTTTCATGAATAGGTGGTTATGACAAAGTTTCTAATATTATCTGCCCTTTAGATTGTAAAAATGGGAGGCAAAGGGTATGTGACACCCTGTAGATCGCGCAAATGATCATTGGTCATAGTGTTACGCACAGCGGTTTTAATCAACTTCATCTTCGAGAACGTGCGCTCACACATCGTCGAAGACAATGTAATGGCCATTGTACTTTGCATTCTCTGAAATAAAAATTCAATAGGTTTCAATTGCCGGTGGTGAACTGAGCATCCTGGTCATACCTTGGCGACGCCACTACCTCACACCCTCACCCTAAGGTCAGTGATGACACCGAGAGTAATCTAACATGGCTATAGTTTGGATGATGCAAATTAATGAAGAAGTTTATGAAATAATGAACGATGCAGTGGTAATGAATTTTATTTAGGAAAGAGTTTTGGTTGTCAGGTCAAACCATACACCTTGTTGATAAATTTACCTAGTCGTTTCATGCCTAAAATAATATCTTTTTCAGGTGAAGATAATGTTAGTCGTAAGTTCATATCTTCAGGATCATATCCTCCACAAGAGGCAGGAGACAAAGCAACGCCTTCTTTTCCATCTTGTAATAACAATTCATAGAGTATAAGATCGCTTTTCAATATTTTTTCATCATATACTTTGCCTCTCAGACCACTGGCATTGATTATTTGAAATAATCCAGCAGGAGGTCGTTCAGCTTTTATTGCCTCATATCCTACTTGTCGATTAATATCTTCGACAAATCTAATAACGAGGTCTCGATGATGCCGAAGCAAATCTCTCTGAGCTTTATAATACTCATCCGTAGTGTGAGATAATGCCGCTATAGTCACATGTTGAGCAAGATCATCTACGTTAAACGTCGTTGCAAATGTAAACGAGTCAATAGCTAATGTATTCATAAGATCTGTGGGACCAATTGCATAACCTGATCGAACAGCCGCTAATCCGTGATCTTTGGATACACTGCGTAAAGTAATCGTTCGTTCAAACATACTTTTACCATCAATATGGATTGATGCAATACTTATAAATGCTTCCTTCAGATCGAAAACAAGCTTATGAACAATCTCATCAGAAATGACGATGAGATTGTGTTCGATGGCCAAACGTGCAATTTTCTCAAGTTCTTTTTTGGTAAAACATTGGCCAGTGGGATTATTTGGATTGATAAGAAAAACAGCTTTAGCTTCTGGATGTTCAATAACCGCTTTTTCTATTTGTTCAGGAGTAACTTGACCATCACATGTCGGTCTAACAAGATGAATATTACAACCGATAGTCAAAGCAGAACTTAGAAATGATGTATAAGTCGGCGCAAACATTAGCACAGTGCTGTTTAACTGCCGAAAATAATTGAATAGAGCGGCACTTAGCTGAGTTATGCCTCCACCAGTATGAACAACTACGTTTGACCGATTGAAATCAGACGGCAACGAATTAACAAAATCATCTATAATGATTTCACGAAGTTCAGGAACAGTCATAATCCTTGCTATTCGATAGCGTTTTAGCTCGACAGTACTTTCACCACTTATTGCCTCTTCTCCCCATACTTCCATTCTATCGGCTATCTCTCTCAATGCATTGCGTACTGCTGGATGAGGTGAGAGCGCACAATCACCATGATGAAGATTGACACAATCCGTACCGTCGAACGAGCGTAAGGTAAGGTAAGCTTTTAACCCACGTTCGGCCACCTCTTTGACATAATTTTCATTACTATTATCATTAGTCATTGTTCCGATATTGTTCAGTAGATTAGCCAAAATTGATTGGATAACATTGAATAATGAAAGAATTGTCCGTCTATTATATCGTTCAAGAAAAAAAAGATTCGATCAAATAAAAATCATTAGATAGAGCATTATACAAAAGAATATTAATTTATGCCACTTACAATGGAGGTATTTGTGTTGTAAGTTGAAAAGACCGGATATTTTTGCATCAAAAGAAAGCACTCACCACCAAACTTACAGGGTTAAAGTATTAGCGCCCATTGGCTTACCTAGAGGGAGATATTCGATTTTTATGGTATTTACAGTGTATGTGATGGATCCACAATTTAACATTTTATCAGAATTTTTTTTCTTTTTCTGTGATGGTTGGATAGAGCTCATCGAGTTGCATAAGAAAAAGTATGCTACAAATTTAAAAAATATATTTAACGAAAGTTAGAATTTTGGGTGTATTATATCATTATTTTCAAATATAGGGGGAATAGACCCAAAATTCTAACTTTCGTTAAATATCTTTTTCAAATTTGAAACAAGTAACGTTCGTCGGTACGACCCACTTGACCCTCGACTGAATTCATTATATTTATTCTGATTATCCTTGACAAACACATATACGATTGAGTAATCCACAACGTCTAGAGATCGGTTCTTCTTCACAAGTGAAAGATAGAAACGAAATAAATTAGAACGTATTAGCGCTTAGATTATTCCTCATTAGAATTCAAACACCTTCAATAATTTTAGAGCGTCAATCGTTTTCGTAGATTGAGCTAAATATGACTTCCAATATGCTTTGTTCGCTTAATGACACAGATTGAGCCTATAGAATTAAGTCCTATGTGTATCACCTAACTTCATAGAGTGTAATACTTTCCAGCGCGTGTTTGGAATAAAACTTTTTCATGATTCAGATTTAGATCTGATAATGAACGGTTGTAGTGGATTTTAGACCCACAGAGAATAAAAAAGTAGAGAGGATCATACAACATCCTAAAACTAAACGTTTTCTGGTGTATTTCAAGAGGTTCAATATTTATGTTCTAGCACAGGAAAATCAGAAGAAATGTTAACCTTTTTATTTGTTGTCTAATGTTCCTTCTTACAACAAGCATAACGAAAAACCATGTTACTTCTGCATACCAGTTATCCACAATCCACTTTTCGCAATTATTATCTTTTGAGATTCAGCCACAAGACATCTGCTTTTTCCTACACGGATGCTATTACAATCAAAATTCGTTGAGCAACGTTTTTCGCCGAACGTACGTTAAGAAAGTTGTACATGTCGAGAAAAATTCTTTCGTACAATTAATTTGAAAGAAAATTGCCTTTCGTTTTTTGCTGATTGGGTACACTATTTCAACCGGTTAAACTCGATTGGTTGGTAACTGCTCTACGGATTTTGGATCTGCCAGAAATGTACTTTCCTTGAAGCTTTTCAATCAGTGGTTAGTCGTTCGTCGGCGCCACTACGGGGCACCACTCACGGCTAGCTGCTGCCATACTTAAGTGTAATTTCCCTATTGATAATACTCTTTCATTTACTATTGAATGGTTACACTTTTGACTTCTTCCAAAATCTTCTTCAATTTACCATAGAATTGTATTCTATGAATATTTCCAACAAAAGAGAATTTGTTGTAAATCACTGTGCATAGTTGTAATTCCATGACTATTCTGGGAAATAGACGTTATATGAGAATTTCTCATTAACAGAATCTTACCAGAATTCTCTCGAAAAGCGCGGTAGGCTCCTTACGAGCTTTCACTAAGAATATCGTTAATGAACTTTTAGAATCATCGACTAGTCGTTCGTCAAAGCTCCTCTGGAGCACCATTCACGGCTAGCCGCTTCCATGTTTAAGTGCAACTTCTCATTCGAAAACCTCTTTATAGAGCTCAGATGCATTTTCGAAGAAAAGCGTGAGATGAACTAAAGTCGGAATGTAGAGGCTCCTACCATTTCCTTTCTAATAGGAAAAATCATAGAAAATTGAACGTGATGGATTGTATTCATCGTACTGATGGAGAGGTGAAGCATCCGACAATAGGTATATTTGTCTTACAAAAATTGGAAGAAATCTCGACAGAAATTTCCGATAAGAGCAGATTTTGTTGTGAACTATACTTAATACTTTTGTTTTTTTTCCCGAACTTGCTATAAAAACTGCGTTAGACTGGAATTCTTCGTTAACAGAATCTTGATGAAGTGGTCCCAAAACATATGTTAGGTTTCATACCGATCTATTCTCAACCATAACTGCAATTGACCTCGCAAATGAGCGGCTAGTCGTGAGAGGCGCTCCGGAGGGGCGCCAACGAACGACCAGCCGCACCCATGCTCAACTCTACTTCCACATTGGTTCATTCTCTTGTATTCACAACCAAACTCATTAGTGTTTCCCTAACTCAAAATAATTATAGGATTTCCAATAATATTTTCTGACTTTTCTGCGGTATATTATAATTTTTTTAACCATCCACTATCTCAAGGATAAAGCATCTACTTTGACTGAAACTTTGAGGAGATTCTAATAATCATGAGATCTCTTCGTGGGCAAAATTTCAGGTCAAAATACCATCTTTTGGTTTTTCCATGAGTGTCTTGCCTGAAATTGAAAATCCAGTGAATTGGTCATAAGTCGACTTCAACAGCCCATGGGCGCGAATTTTTTTAGGTTTTGGCTATTGACATTGAGGTCTACTTGTGGGCAAAATATGAGCTCGAAGTCGAGGGGACACTTCGGGTACTTCCCCCGTGAGTGCTTGTAACTCCTCTTTATGGCCAAACAATACCTAAGACAATCCTAGAAGTTAAACTAGTTTAATGATAATACTCGCTCTGAAGATTCCTTGGCCTGTTTGTTTTTTTCATATATTCTCAAATTAATAGGTGAGTCAGGATAAATCAGTCATCGTTACTTCATCCATATTGTTGGCATCAACGACGGTACACTCTGATGCTAAACGTAGACTAAAATGTCCCTTCTAGTCTAATTAGCTTAGGACATCTACTCGGATCACAGGACATGTGCAGTTCGAGTTTCAAGCAGGACCTCTTGTTCTTCATTCTGTCCATTTATATATTTCCTTATGCTGGAATCTGTTATGCCTCATATATGATGCCTACACATATCTCTGTTAGTTTTTATTGTGTCGAAACGGATTTTGTCCAAAACGTTTCAGCACTGAATTCTCTACTAAGTGCTACAGCAATGCTCTCTAAAAACAAGGAGTTTTACAGAACGGTACCCGACCGCAGATCTTTTTTCAGGGTTCTGTATCTTGTGCAGAACCTTTTTTTGAGTTCTGTTCAATCTGCAGAACTTCAAAAAGGATCCGCGACTGGGTACCGTTCTGTAAAACTCCTTTTTTTTTTAGAGAGTGGTCAACGCAGACATAAAAGGGAAAACTCATCATAGTAATCCTGCAAAAGTCTATCAGCAATCACTTTCGATCTGTTTTCATTGATATTAACTCGTATTTTTGGCTGATACTAAAGCAGCATGTAAAAATTTCTACCTAGAAACTTTATTTTTCAGAAAAACTAGTCATTATCCTGCATGCTTTTCCTTACTATTAACACTTAAACTATTCGAAGTAGCACCGTTTCAGAATGCATCTAGCCTTGTATAGTATCGTTTATTGGCATAAATACAAACCAATAACTTGCTTCAAGAAAAATTCTACGACAAGTTGCCTGTATTTTTTCAGTGTCTGGAAAAATACGGTGAAAAACAGAGATACTTTCGAAAACTCGTGAAAGCTCACATTTATTTAACACTATAGGTTTTTAATGAAAAAGTTCTAAGGTACACTCACAGAGTACAGCTGTCAAAGCTCAACGAAAGCGTTCATTTAATTGGTTGCTAGGGTTTGACACCATAAAAACCCAGAGAGATATCAAGCAAAAGGCTAGGGAATCATTTATGCTAAGGCATCATTATTTTGTGAAACACGATCTGAAAGGAGTTTTGAAGTTCATAGGGTAGAAATTTTGGATCCATTCCCCCGCTCCCTACAGCTGTGACAGAGAAAATTCATACCCATAACAGACCGTGACAGAGAACCTCGAAGTCCATCACATGCCGCGACAGAGAACCTCCAGAGACCATCACAGACCGTGACAGAGAACTCCGAAAAACCATGACAGACCGTGACAGATAACCTCCACAGACCATCACAGACTGTGACAGAGAACTCCGAAAGACCATGACAGACCGTGACAGAGAACATCCACAGACCATCACAGACTGTGACAGAGAACTCCCAAAGATCTTCACAGTCCATGACAGAGAATCCCCAAAGACCATCACAGACCGTTACAGAGGAACTCCAGAAAGCATCACAGAACGTGACAGAGAACTCCAAAGACCATCACATACCGTAACAGAGAAATTGTAGATTTAAAACATCAAATAAATGGTCTGCTAGAAATCTATCGTAAAGAAATGGAAGAAAACGTTGCCCATTTAATTTGTAACAATAGGCCCATCGTGTTTCAGTTTTAATCCCGCAAGGGATTGGGCTAACAGCTTTTTTAGTACTATGAGTGCGCTATGGAACTACAGGAAAAACGAACTATT